AATGTCGCCCATGATGCAGCGCTACATGAAGTCGCAGACCACCTCCAGCTCGCAGGACAGCGCCTTCGCCATGGGCTCCCGGAACCAGGCCGTCCGGTACTCGCCGTCCTCGTCGGCCTCGTCGTCGTATTCGTCCCCCTCGTCGTCGTCCTCCTCTTCCTCGCCCGTTGCCCTCGCCGGCCCCCTAGTTACTCCTCCGCCCAGCGCGCTCCTCTGTCCCCTCCCTCCGTCCCCTCCCGCCTCCCCCGCCCCCTCACCACGCCCGACGGAATGGCGCGCGAGCGCTCTGCCCCTGCGGCAGGCCTCGCCGCCTGCCCTCGCGCGGACACGGCACGCCCTGCGCGCGAGGCCCGCGGCCAACAGCATGCCCCCGCCCGCCCGCCCGCCCGCACCCCTCGTCGGCTCCCCCCTCCCCTCCGACCTTGCCCCCCCCTTCTCGCTCTCGCCCTCTGCCTCCCTCCCTCTCTGACTATCCTCCAGGCAGCTCCATCCCCCCCGTCTCCTCCCTCCTCCTTCCCATGCCCATCCTCCTCCTCTCTCGCTCCCTCGTTCTCCCTCCTCCCTGCTCGTCCCTCATCCTGCTCCTCGCTCCTGCCGGTTCTGGGGAGGCAGGGTAGGTGCTGATGGGGATCATCGCCAGGAGGGAGTGTGCACCTCGTCGCAGCCCTCTCGGCCCGAGGGGTGCGCAGGCGAGGGTCTGGTTTCCCCGCCCCCCTTCCCCGTCATACGCCATCCGTCTGACCTAACATTCGTCTACTCTGCCCCGTGTGCCGGCATGCCTAAGGAGGGAAAAAGAACACACAGACACAATTAACCGTCGATACCCCAGAAAATATGGGAAAACATGGGAAGTGGGGGGGAAGACCGACCCCTCCAAAAAACATGGGGACATGTGGCGAATCCTTTTATGTGTGTGTGTGTGTGTATTCATTTGTGTGTCCTGGGGCCCCTTCATATTCGTCTGTGCTGCCCTGTGCGCCGGCACGCCGAGCAACCGGCTGGGCCCCGGCCTCTCCTCGGGCTCCGCCCGGCCCGTGTCGGCCCCGCTGCGGCCGGCGGCAGTCCTGGGTCCAGGTCTCTGGCAGGGGGCCCCGTGCCCCGTGCTCTCCCCACGGACGGGGGGGGGGGTTGTCAGGAGGGGAACAAAACACACAGCCACAAGTAGTCGTCGATCCCCAGGAAGATATGGGAGAATGTGGGAAGTGGGGGGGGGAAGACAAACACCGAGAAACTATGAGAAAGCATGGGGAATCTTTTGATCTGTGTGTACTTCTTTGTGTGCCCCAGGGCCCCTTCGGTTCTTTGGATCGGTCGGAGCCCACGTTGCCACACGCGGTGCTCCTCACACCAAGCTCCCCCCCCCAACCACAGGTCAAAGATTGCGGCTAGGGCACTTCTTCCTCACGCCTCGCCTTCTCGCTGTTAATCCTCCTCCTCCTCCTCCTGCTTCCCTTCCTGCTCCTCCTGCTCCTCCTCCTCCTCCTCCTTCGTCCCTCCCTCCCTTCATCCCCTTCGCTGGGCCCTCCCTGCGTCCCTTTCCTGGCGTCCTCCCTTCCTCCTCTCCTCTCCTCCCTGCCCCTCCGTTCCTCTCTTGGTCCCCCGCGGCAAGGCGATCTTGGAAATCAACCCCGAGCACCCGGTCATCCAGAAATTGAGGACGATGCAGCAGACCGCTCCCGATTCCGAGGATTTGGGTCGCCAAAGGGATAATCAAGTGAATCGAGAAGTTATCTGATGATGTGTTGTTTAGCCTCAGGATGGTACCAAGAGGAAGAGCAGGAGGAGGAGGAGGATCCAGCGTCGAGGTTGTAGGGTGTCTGTTTTGCGTATTTTCTGTGCCTCCCGGGTTGCTTTCGTCGCCACGGTTGGATTCGCTTTGAGATTCCGCTAGGAACGCACCGCAGGAGAGTTCTTGAGTCGATCTGTGAGGGAAGAGAAGGAACAGGAGGGAGGGGGAGGCGGACGAGGAGGAGCAATCGCAGAAAACAAATCGTCTTCGGCGATGCTCGACAGTTTACTGTATGTTTGGACGTTTTCCGTGCGTGTTCAAATTGTTTCGGGCGGCTTCGGGAGGCAGACGAGGAATGGCCGAGGGAGGAGGAGCAGGACAGTGGGGGGATGAAACGGGGGCGTGGAAGGGGAAGGAATTGGAGAAGTGGCTATGAGCACGAGGCGGATGAGTATGGAGGAGCAGCAGGAGGAGGAGGAGGGGGAGGAGAGAGGAGGAGAGGAAGGAAGCCAGAGGGAGGGCGGAGGAGGACGAGGAGGAGGACCAATGACCAGCGTAAATCCAAGACTCATCAAAGATGTTGCAATAATCCTCCCCCCTGCAAGCTCCCTGCAAATATTTATTTTCACAACGGGAAGTGTCCTGTCGGACGACAACCGTTTGAACATCTTCAACGCCACGAATCAATTGCACGGTTGCGTCCTGGCGATCCAGAGTTGCACCAGAAAGCACTTCAGATGAACGTGATTGTCGCGTCCTGACAATACGAAATCGTGCCATAGCACAATTTCTGGGACGCCAATCATAAGATTTCTCCATACTCTCGCATTTGGTTTAAAACGAATGTGCGCAGCGCAAAGGCGAGAGCCGCATTTCAAAATCTGCCCGCAAATGATCCGTGAAACTCTTGCGAAATGTTGAGGCGAATGCGCGTGGCTATAAGGCGAGAGCCGCATGTCGAAAACCACCCGCGCTTTACCTGTGTCATCTTGCAAATGTTTAAGACGAATGCGCGCGGCGTTGAGGCGAGAGCCACATCTTGAAAGCCACCCTTGCTTTATCCGTGAAGTTTTTTCAGACTGTAAGACGAATGTGCGCGGCGTTGGGGCGAGAGACACATGTTGAAAACTATCCGCCCTGCATCCGTGAAGCTGTTGCGAATTTCAAGCTCCAGGATGACAAATGATTGGGGACCTCTCGAGTGACATTCCCGGCCCGCCCTACCGACCCGTCTCGGGGTGCGACAGGGAGGAGTCGTTTAGGAGGGCGAGCGGTGGTGGAGGAGGAAGAGAAGGAGGTGGGGGAGGAGGAGGGGGAGGAATACGATTAGCATGAGCAGCAGCAGCACCCGAACTCCTTGGAATGGGAAAGAGCAGCCACGGACAGCCTTACGTAGGAACGCGGTTTTTGATGATGATCTCCGCACTTCCGGTTTCGGGCCTTGTTCAAGGAAGACGCGTCTCGTTGCCTAAAGAGCTGCGGCCGCAAATAACAAAGTCCGAGGCGTCGCTTGGCACGGCCATGCTGGCATGTGAGAGGACACTTTATTTATCAGCCGATATCCGAGGCGGGAACGTATACATGACCACCGCCTGAAGGGTCAGTTTTCGGAGCTTCGGCAGGCGGTGGATACGGACATAGTTGGGCCCCCAGGGGCCGAAATACATCCATGTCCACCGCCCACTTGGGCACCAGGACGTCGGTTCTCGAGCGGTGGATATGGATAAATCGCAAGAGAAAGAGAAACGACGACGCAGGGACGACATGACGGAGTCCGCGGAGTGGAGGAAACGAGTCCACCTGCCCTGCATTGTCGTCGCCGGCGCCGTCGTCGTCGTCTTTGTCGTCGTCGTCTTTGTCGTCGTCGTCTTTGTCGTCGTCGTCGTCGTTCCGCGCGCCAGGCGCCCCGCGAGCGCAGGGGCAGGCCCGAGCCTCTCGGCCCCTTGTGCGCCTCGGCTCCGCGCGCGGGGCGCTCGCTCCCTGCGCGCGGCCTGCCCCCCCGTGGCCGCGCGACTGCGCGCGGCCAGCGCGGCGACGAGCCGCCCCCTGCGCCCGCGCCTGCGCCTGGCCTTGGGTCGGGCATGTCCCTCTACAGGAGGAAGCTTCCAAGACAGTCCAAACATAAGGAGGGGACGATTATAATATATATATATACAGATATATATATATATATATATACATATAGATGTACATAAATATATGTATATAGACTCCAGTTTCGATTATGTTTTTGACTATGTTTTAACTCTCGCCCCGGATCCGCCTGTGGGACGACGGGGACGTACCCGACCCGAGCCTTGCCTGCGGGTCGGCGCGCAGCCGCCGCGCGCCGTCGGGCGGCGAGTTCCGCCGCCTCGCGCGCGCCTCGGCCAGGCGGAGCTCAAGCTCCGTGGGCTGCCTGGCGGGCCGCGTGCCGTGAGACTTCGTGTCGCTGCGAGGGCCGTGTGTGTGTCCCTGGGTTGCTGCTTGCACCGCCGCCTGATCCGCGGCCCCCGCGCGCGCCCCCGGGTAATTCGTCACGGCCGCAGCCCGACCGTGACCCGCCGCCGCTGGCGCTTCCGCCTGCGGCTGTAAAAAAAAAGGCTGTGCCTGTGTGTGCGCACCCCCTCCCGCCGGCCCTGCCCTCCGCGGTGATGCCTAAGGAGGCCCCGCCGCCTCTCGGTAGTTCGTCTCTGCGCGGCCCACTCTGACTCGGCTCGCCGTTGGCGCTTTCGCTCGCGGCTGCCGACTAAAAAAGCTGCGAGTGCGACTGTGGGAACCGCTTCAAATCCGGGAAGGGAACCCAGACAAGGTTCAATCGGGCACGTCCCTCTACAGGAGGAATATTTGTCAGAAAATAATCTGGGGACGATGATTGCGCATTTGTTTTGAAGATTTTTTGCGTATTTCTGATCTGTCCTCCAAAATCTGTTTTTTTTGGGGGCATGCCCGACCTAAAGACAAGGCTGGGGCGTCCTGGAGGCGCCGGCGTCGCGGCGCCCGGAGTGTTGCAGTGGGGGGAGGGCAAGCAGGGCCGCCAGTGCGCGATCGGGGAACCAACAGTGATCCGAGACGGCCGAGAGACGGGCGCCAAGGCCGCCAACATGGCCCAGGATGCCTCCAAGAGGGCCCAAGATGGCCACACGGCGGCCCGGCATGGCCTCCAGACGTCTGGCTCTCCTTACGATCCGATGGGTTCGCTGCGCTCCGATGCAACGGTTGGGGCCGCGATTCCGATCCGAGTCGGTTCGGTCGGACTCGCCAGTGTCAGCGTGGGGCCGCCCGGGCCGGGCCCGGCGATCGGACGTCGATTCGACCCGGGACGATGTGTGTGACGATCCGCCGTGTCTCCGACTGGCACCGCTCGGATGTGTGCATTTTCCTCGGCGGGGACCATCGAGGAGCACTTTGGATCATCTTGCACCTTCTGCGCCGTCTTCGGTTCGCGAGAGGGCGTCGCGGCCGTCATTTATGCGGGTCCAGGTCCGTCGGTTTCAGTTCTAGGCCGTTTTCCCTAAAGGGAGGTTTATTAAAAGGGAGGTTTGTCCACCGCCGAGAAAAACGGACCTGCGCGCCCTCGCCGTCCTCCATCGCCAGGCCGTGGGGGGACACTTTTTGGGTCGGCGGCGACTTTCGTAAGTCGGGCATGTCCCTCTGCAGGAGGAATTTTCAAACATGACACAACACAGGATCGGGACTATTCTTGATTATTTCTTGACTATGTTGTCAGTGTTCGCCCGGATTCCGCCTGTAGGAGGACATGCCCGACCTAAGACTTGTCTCCAAGAAGCGGTCGGAAAGCACTGGGGCGCAGTGGCAGACTGCTTGGGGCACAAGGGGCGAGCGCCGGGGCGAGAGCGGGCGGCTGGGCCGTATGGGAGCGAACAGTGCCAGAAGCATAAAAATTCGGAGTTCCGCGCGGATTCCTCGGGATCGGCGCCGGGGCCCCGTGGTTGCGCCTCCTGTGCCACCCCTGGGGCAATCCGCGCGCCAGGGAGGGGGTCCAGCGCCGATCCAAGAAATCCGTGCGGACCTCCAAAAGTTTATGCTTATGCGGTCTTGCCTTCTTCTAGAGAGGCGGGGATCAAGGGGTGCCGCGTGCAATCGGAAGTCACAAGGAGGGCATCGACGCCTGGAGCATCATTGGCTTTACACGTGCCAGGTTGCCCAGTAAGATCACGCCGACGCGGACATGCCAGAGCGCAAGCAACGGTGCCTGGGCGCGATGGACCAGGCCAAATTGGAGAGATGCGCAGTCCTCCAGAGAGCTCACAACCCACAAATATCCCAGGTTGGGGTATACGTTTTTCCTTTCGTCACCTGCTTCTCGATCAGTGTTGCCTGGTCTGGTGTCGACGAAACTACCGCGGAGTCGAGCGGCGAAAGGAGGGGAGGACGAAAATTAGGAGGAGGAGGGCGAGGAGGTTGGGAGCAGGAAGAGGAAGAGGAGGAGGAGGAGAAGGAGGAGGGACGAGGAGGAGGAGGAGGAGGGACGAAAAGAAGGGGAAGGAGGAGGAGGAGGAGGAGGAATAGGACGGACATTTTTAGGAGGAGGAGGACGACGACGACGAAAAGAAGGAGGATGGTGAGGAGGCTGGGAGGAGGATGAGGAGGCAGAGGAGCAGGGACGAGGAGGGAGTCAAAGATGAGGGAGGACGGGGAAGCAGCGAGAGAGAGCGAGAGAGAGAGAGAGCAAGCAGGGAGGAGAGGGGGAGCGAGGCGGAGCACATGGACGCATGATGGGGAGGGCTGATGATTCTGAGACGGGAGGAGGGGCACGGGGGAAGGAGGAACGGGGAAGGGCCAGGACCCGTGGCGCAAAAGGCGATCGTTTCCTTTTGCGCGCGCTCGGCGCCCATCGAGAGGAGACGGAGGACATGGTCATGATGGTGTACGAGACTGCCGCCCTCATCGGCGGCTACAACATTGAGGACCCCATCTATCTGCCATCCTCACTGTGATGCGCTGGCCGCAGTCGTAGTCCTCCTCCTCCTCCTCGTCCTCCTCCCCCTCCTCTCATACCCTTCCTCCTGCTCTATCCTGCCCCCCTCCTTCCCGCTCCTGTCCGTCCTGCCGGTCCCTCTCCCTTATAATCCCCCTTCCGCGCCCTTCTTCGGCTTCTCCTCGCCTCCCCAATCCCTCCCCCGCCCTCATGCTGCTCCCCCCCATCACTATCCTTCTCCTCCTTCTCCTCCTCCTCCTCCTCCTCTTCTTCATCCTCCTCCTCCTCAAGAACCGTTCTGGCTCAACTGCGCCGCGGCGCCTTTGGACCGCGCTCCGCACCTTTGCGAGGTGTTCTTCACGATGGGCTGCGCCGCCGCGCCGCGTGCCGTGGCGAGCCCCGGCTAAGGCGGAGCAGAGCAAGCAATGACCTGCTGATGTGGGCCCTCCCCTGCGGCGGCCGCTGGTGCTTGTGCGGGGCGGCCTACTGGCAGGCGCCCTCGGGCCCGCCGCCAGTGCTGGAGGTCGCCCACCGGTGGGCGGATCAGGGCCAACCTCGGGAGCCTTGAGACGGGGGTCAATGCAAGCGGGGGTCCTGCGAAGACCCCCTCTGGCTGACCCGGGTTAGCGAGGCGGCCGCGCAGATTGGTTGACCCGGGTTTGCGAAGACCTGCGTGGCAGTTTTTGTTCCTGCATTGCGGACTCTTGGTTTCCTGCTGAGGAGGAGGTGGAGGTGGAGGTGGAGGTGGAGGTGGAGGTGGAGGAGGAGGAGGAGGAGGAGGAGGAGGAGGAGGAGGATAGGAGGCGGACGACTACGACGACGACGAGGACGAGGACGACGACGACGAGGACGACGACGACGACGACGACGACGACGACGACGACGACGACGACGACGACGACGACCGTCGAGGACCCTGGCGAGTTCGCCAAGCGCGTCACCAAGCTCATGGTGAACATGGGCCCAGAGCCAGGCAGCGCTGGGGTCGTGGACGCTGAGGCCGCGTGAGCAGCCGGCGCCGTCGCCCTCGCCCTCGCCCGCCCTCTCGTCGTCGGGCTTGGCCCTCGTCATCGTCCTGAGGTCGTCGTCGCCGTCGCCAGGCCTGCCCTCGTCGTCTTCATTCGCCTCCAGGGTGGTGGGATGGGGCGCATGGCGGGGCCCAGACACCCGACGATCCGATTCCCGACCCCTCCTCCCCCACCTCCCTTCTCAGCATGTCGCGTGCGCCTCGCCCACCCACTGCAGCGTTGCGTGGCCCCAGAGGGAGCTCCACCGAAGGTCCAAGTTGCGTTGCCCGAATGCGTCTCCCACACCCGGCACAGCGTTTCGCCGGCCATAGGGAGTTCCACCGAAGGCCCCAGTGGCGCAGCCCGCATGCGTCTCCCGCACCCAGTACAGCGCATCGGGGCCACATAGGGAGCTCCACCGAAGGTCCCAGTGGCGCAGCCCGCATGCGTCTCCCACCCCATAGGGAGCTTCACCGAAGGTCTCAGTGGCTCAGCCCGCTTGCGCCTCACACACCCATCACAGCGGTTCGTGGCCCCATAGAGAGCTCCACAGAAGGTCCCAGAGACGCAGCCCGCATGCCTCTCCCCCACCGAGTACAATGTTTCGTGGCCCCATTGGGAGCTCCACCGAAGATCCAAGTGTCGCAGCCCGCATGCGTTTCCCCCACCCAGTACAGCGTTCCGTGACCCCACAGGGAGCTCCACAGAAGGATCCAGTGGCGCAGCCCGCATGCGTCTCCCACACCCAGTACAGCGTGCCGTGGCCCTTATAGGGAGCTCCAACGAAGGTCACAATTGCGCAGCCCGCGGCGTCTCCCACACGCAGCCCGCATGCGTCTCCCACACCCAGTACAGCGCTTCGTGGCCCCATGTTGAGCTCTCCCCCATCCAATACAGCGCTTCGTGGCCCAGTAGGGAGCTCCACTGACGGTCCCGGAGGCGCAGCCCGCATGCGTCTCCCCCACCGAGCACAGCGCTTCGGGGTCCCATAGGGAGCTCCACCGAAGGTCCCATTGGCGCATCCCGCATGCGTCTCCCACACCCGGCACAGCGCTTCGTGGCCCCATGTGGAGCTCCAACGAAGGTCCCAGAGGCGCTGCCCCCAAGCGTCTCCCACTTCCAGCACAGCGCGTCGTGGCCCCACATGGAGCTCCACCGAAGGTCCCAGTGGCGCAGCCCGCATGCGACTGCCCCGCCCAGCACATGGGGAGCTCCACCAAAGGTCCCCCCAGTGTCGCAGCCCGCATGCGTCTCCCCCGCCCGGTACAGCGCTTCGGAGCCTTTTCGGTGGGCCCCACCGAAGACGATACCTGCAACTGCGACCAAGCTGATTTTTGTCACTCCGGGCGTGTTGGCTTCCGTTCGGCCTTTGGGGCCCGTTGTCGGTCCTGGGGGTTACCGAACAATTGATCCGGGATGCAACACCCCTCCCCCGGGGAAGGAGTCTGGAGATCTGGAGGCGCGGATTGAGATTAGTTCGTTTGCTTCGAGCGGTCCCCACCCGAGAACGCGAGGCGGCATCCCCATGGAGCAGTGGCACCCTTGGGGCCTGGCGGCCGTAGCATGCAGTTGTCACTCGTCGAACACGCGAGGCTGGACACCCTCAGGGAGTATCTGGACACTTTGGGCCTGGCGGCCACGGTACGCACGGTGTGCGAGGCGGGTCGGGAGTGTTTAATATAAACCTGGCGACCCCAACTTGCGGGGTTGGGAAACTCTTGCAGTCAAGACGAAATGTTGACCGCTTCGCGTACCCCCACCAGCCTGTCCCTGGCATGTGCATGTGCCCTGCGTGTGTTGTCCGCTGGAATCCGCGGCAATCTCGCGCCAATTATCTTCGTACCGCGCCCCAGACGTTGTGCTCGCTCCCTGTCTCTTGCCTTGGAGCCGCGAACCAAAAAAGTATCCCCACCAGCCGATTCAGGAAGGCTGACCATGAGAGTTGATACCCTCTTGTGGTTCTCTTGGGGCTCTCTCGGGACCCTCTTGGGGGCAACGAGTAGGCGGACGAAAAGGAGACGGAGGGGGATTACGATGGCAAGAACGAGGACGGGGACGAGGACAAGGAGCAGGAGGTGGAGGAGGAAGACGACGACGACGACGACGACGAGGACGAGGACGAGGACGAGGACGAGGACAATGACGAGAAACACGATGACGAGGATGAGGACGACCAAGAGGAGGAGGAGGAGGAGGAGGAGGAGGAGGAGGAGGAGGAGGAGGAGGACAAGAACTCGTTGAGCGAGCTGAGGACTTTTTTGTGACACTCTTGGGATCATCTTGGGGTTTGCTTTGGGTCCTCTTGGGGCTCTTTTGGAAGGCCCTGGGGTCCTCCTAGGGCTCCATTAGTGTGTCCGGGGGCCCTCGTCGGGCCCTCTTGATGCATACCAACGATTCCAAGGCAATCGTGTTTTTTCAGGGTCGGTCAAAACGAATCAATCAGTTGGAGAATGTGTTAGTGTATGGGAGGGGTGCGACTCCCGTCGTTGAAGCGTTGCTGTTGTGTTTGTTTATTTGTTATGGTAGGCTCTAAAAACTTGGGTCCCTCTTGGGGGCCTTGTGTAGGGCGTCGATCAGAGGAGGGTGCGTCCTAGATTTGCCTGCCCCTCGGGGGCCATCAAAGTCACCTCTTGGGGCGCTTTTGGGGCTTCTGGGGGCGCTCTGGGGCCGACCTTTTGGGTGCCCTTGGGGCTGTGTTTTTTTTTTGCCTCTTGAGCCTCTCTTGGGGCCCTCTTGGGGCCCTCTTGTCAGAGCGTGAATTACCTACCCCGCTTTCGCTTCCAGGCAAAACCAAACCATACCACGCGCCTCCTCGTCAAGCGGTCTGATCAGTACAGGCTGCAATTTGGCATCGTTTGGTATCTCTTGGAAGCGAGGGTGGTCAAAAGCGAGGGAGGTTTGTTTTCCCCCTATCTTGGGCCAGCTTGGGGCCATCTCGAGGCCTCCGAAGCCCATCGTTAGTGACAAGTCCAAAAAAGGCAAAATTCAGTGAGCTCCTATCATGTCTTCTTTAACGAGGTTTGCTTCTTTGGGGGGCTCTTGAGGCAGCTCCGAGAGCGCTCGGAACCGTCTTGTGGCCCTCGTCGGGCTTCTTCGAGGTATGCTGGAAGCCATTTTGTAGCATCGGACGCCCCCTTGGAGCCATCTTGGGCGAAAAAGGAGCCTCTGCCACTTCGTGACCCCCAGCAAAGGCATCATGGAGGGGGAGGGGGAGGGAGGGTACCCCTCCCCGAAGGGACGAGAGCTCTGGACGGGGAGGATCAGACATCGTCTTGACCGCCGACGCCCAGAGGGCTGGCGGGATCGGGACCACTCGGGGCTCGGGAGGGGGCGCCTGGTGCTGAGGCCGCCCCTGGCACTGCCGGGTCGGGGGACGCAGCTATGCGTGGCCGAGGCCCGCCGTGGTGCCGCCGAGAAGCCCCGTCGCTCCTCGCGCCGCGCCCCTCGTGGTGCCACGAGGACTGCAGGCCCCACTGCTGCCCCCTGCCTGCAAGTTGCTCGCCGAATGGGTTGCAGGAGAAGGCGCCGAGGAAATACGAGGAGGAGGAGGAGGAGGAGGAGGAGGAGGAGGAGGACTGAGGCAAGGATGGAGAGAGAAGTGGGAGGAGTGGGAGCAGCACGGCGGACAGACAGGGGATGCGGGGAGTAAGAGGATGCGAGGAGTGAGATTTCAGGAGGATGAGCAGGCGGACTAAGAGGGGGGAGGGCGGGAAGGAGGTGGAGGAGGATTGCTGTCGATGGTGTGGGAAGGTTTTGCGCAGGAGACTCTGCTCATTACCCTTTCCTCCTTCCCGCTCCTCCTCTCCTACAGCTCCTCCCGGTTATCACTACGTGATGGCGGAAATCCTGGAAATCCTACAGCTCCTCCCTCCTCCCAGTGCTTTCCCGCCCCTTCCTCGCCACCTCGGCGGCGCCAGTTTTGCTTTCACCTGTCTGGCCCAGCGATCCCGGGATTGTCCGGGATCTCCAGGCTAAGCAGCCGGGGGCTGCCCGAGGCGTTCCTGGCCCAGGGTGTCGTTGCAGCTCTCCGCGCGGTTCTGGAGCTCACGGGGCCCTGCGGGCCCAGGGAAAGGCGCTCTGGAGGACCCCCCCCCCCGAAACCCTGGGCCAGTTGGGCAACCACGGACACCCGGGCCGGACGAAAGGAGGGGGTTGGGAAAGGGGGGGTCACAGAATTTGCTGCAGGCAGCTGGTTTCGGCCTCACCGAGGGGCCCATTCCTCGATGCATGGCCGCCTCCGGCGCCGGGAGGCGCTGGGAAAGTCAGCTACGTGAGCTGATTCTCAAACCCCCCCCTTTGCTATCCCCCCCTTTCGCCCGACCCGAGACACCCTGGGGTCTTTCGGATGCAGCTCTTGGCAGGTTCTATTCAGCACCAGCGTTGGCACACCCGTGGTCGAACTTGGGCACACTGCGGCAAGGGCCCGCCGAGTTCCCTCCAGTTCGGCTCAGTCTTGGGCTGGTCTGCCTCAGGGGCCCTTGAAACCAACGGGCTTAGTCGCCCTTGCTCGTTCTTGCGAAGACCTCCCAGGCGATGCCTCTGAAAGGCGACCTTTGTGATTCGGGTCAGGGCCTACCTTGCGGCAACGCCCGAGACGGCCTGGAGGGTGTAGTTCTCCGCGCGGGGCACCAGATTTTGAAGCTTGGCACCCCGCGGCGGAGCGAAGCCCAGGCGGCGCGCCTGGTCGCGGCGACCTGCGCGCAGGGAGGGGCGTCCTCCACGAAGGCAGGGGGCTTCTTAGATGGGGACGATCGGCCTGGCGACAGAAAGAATGGGTACGAAGGCCGGCAGCAGTCGCGTTCATTCTGACCAGGATTCGCTGCGGGTGTCGCCGCGGACCTGGTCCACGTGAGGCAGAAAGCTGCTTGCTCAACAGCGGCCACTGTCGATGCTTGACAACATTTGTTGTTGGGCATCGTACCCATGTTTTCCGTCTTCATCCCGGGCGTCCAAGTTAGTTGCGTTCCCGTGTCTTGTTTTTTTTGAAATGTCCAAAAACAT